ACAACTGGCTTAGGGGTGAGGACAAGGAATTGCTTATCTTCAACACTTGGGCACAATTCCTATTATCATTGCTGTTCCTTCTCTTCTCCAGGTATTGGGGGGGCTGTCTCCCCAGTTGCAGCTGGTCCCCCTGTCTTGTCTCTGTCTATCTCGGTGCCAATTCTGCAATCTTGGCTCCTTCCTGCCTGCCTCAGGTGCTGGAACATCCCCACTCTGGCTGGGAGCAACTTTCCATCCTATCTACCTCTTCCTCCTGCCACCCCGGTCCCTTTCGCTGTTATCCATCTGTACTATTGTAAGCAGCATCAGGACTATTCAGAAAACACGTTCTCAGCTCCCTTCATGGGTGTTGATCTTTCCCCAACTGGGACCTCAGGTTCTCTTCACTAAGCACTAGTTTTTAGGATGCTCATCAAGGAAACTCAACAAACACAGGACAGAACATACAACCAATCAACAACTAGAGAGATTTAAATGTGATTGTTTCTCTAATTATTCACTTTAAAACCACTGCCTTATTGCACCTAAGTTGTAAGAGCTGCAGATCCCAGGGGAGGGGGCAGTAGCTGGTATGACTGGAGTTGGGTCTTTTAAGACTCTGTCCTTGATGAGTGAGCTCTCCCTGCTTCCTTGAGGACTGGATTCCTCCAGATGCTCCAGGACACAGAAGTGAGCCAGCTACTGTCTCAGGAACCTTGGATCGTGGGCATTCGATTACCTAAGACAGGGGCCAGAGGGGCAGAGGGCGGCCAACAGTCAACTGAGCTACAGCTGGCCAGAGGACGGCCAGTGACCTCAGTCAGAAGGCGGCCAGCATGACCAGCACTGACCAGGAGGAGGACACGGGCTCTAATAAGAGGGAAGGCCCCAGATGACGCGGAAGGCCAGGATCAGGCCGGACATCTGTGCTGCATGGGGGTCCAGGCGCAGAGCTTCGTTTCCAGGGCTGGCAAGGGCCAAGCAGAGCCCCCAGCGTCCTAAGAGAGGAAAAGTGTGCAGAGAAGCCATAAATGGGGGTGTGGTAGAGAGTTCTGGTGTCATTATTCTAGGCTTTGAAGGGTCGGAGTTCATTGTAAAAGGACTTTAAAGGGTTTCCCCAGTAGCTCAGCTGGTAGAGAATCTACCTGTAATGCAGGAGACCCCAGTTCAATTCCTGGGTCAGGAAGATCCCCTGGAGAAGGGATAGGCTGCCCACTCCTGTATTCTTGGGCTTCCCTGGTGGTTCAGCTGGTAAAGAATCTGCCTGCAAAGGCTATCCACTCCAATATTCTGGCCTGGAGAATCCATGGACTGTATAGTCCATGGGGTCACAAAGAGTCGGACACGACTGAGCAGCTTTCACTTTAAAAGGGACGGGTTGGACAGGGTGGTCGGCACCACCCGGGGGTGCTGTAAGGCTGGCCTTGGGCTATGTAGCCAGGAGCAATGCCTGGGCTTACTTCAGGGAGGCCATGGTCTCTTGGCAGACACACCACCAACACTCCAAAACACTGCCTCCACACCTGATAGGTAGTGTGCTTGGCTGCCTCTCACCAGCTCCCTTTCTGTTCCTTTTTTAAAAATATAACATTAATTAATTAATTAGCTTGTTTATTTTTGGTTGCGCTGGGTCTTCATTGCTGCACTTGGGCTTTCTCCAGTTGCAGCGAGTGAGGGCTTCTCTTGCAGCGCATGGACTTTTCACTGTGGTGCTTTTTCTTGCGCAGAGCACGGGCTCTAGGTGTCAGGGATTCAGTAGCTGTGGCGCGCAGGCTTAGTTGCTCCGAGGCATGTAGGATCTTCCAGGACCAGGATCAGACCTGTGTCCTCTGCATTGGCAGGCGGGTTCTTATCCTATGTGCCACCAGGGAAGTCCACCCTTTCTAATTCTGACTGGTGGAGCTGAGGTCACCTGCTGGCCCAGGAGCTAGACTGTGAGTGCTTCTGGCTTCTGCCTTGGAAAGATGGAGTCCTGATGTAACTAAAATTAAGAAAGAGGTCAAAGATCTTGGATCCCAGGTGAGGAACATCCTCTACAGGGGCCCCACTCTCCCCACCCCACTGGCTGGATGTCCACTGAATACTACGGGCACCCACTCAGGTTGGTTTGGGAACAGAATCCTAAATCATGGGAACCTTTAACAGGAGAGACAGAGGGAATGAGATGTGAGTACCTTGGTACCTCATCACTAAAGCCACAAGATAGTACAGGTACACACTGATTTCCTTGGTTGCCAGGATAAATTTGCGACTAAATTGTTTACAACCCAAATTTATTTCCTTATAGAAAAAAATATATATGCAGTGCTAGCTCCCTAAGTTAACTAGAAGTATCCATCTCACCCACACACTGCTAACATAGAACTAGTAATACTAGTCAGATCATAAGATCTATATTTAAATTGCATGTGTTATATAGTTGATGGGCTTCCCAGGTGGTGCTAGTAGCAAAAGAATTGGCCTGCCAATGCAGGAGATGTGGGTTTGATTCCTGGGTCGGGAAGATCCCCTGGAGAAGGAAATGGCAATCCACGCCAAGTATTCTTGCCTGAAAAAAATCCCACTGACAGAGCAGCCTGGTGGGCTACTATCCATGGGATCTCAAAGAGTTAGAACATGACTGAGCAACTAGCGCTTTCAGAGGCTCAGAGAAGACTTCAGAGCTTTGTGCCTGCAGAGATCAGGGGTTCTCTCCACTAAACAAGTGAAGAGAAGGCGATGAGGGATGTGTTGAGGAGGGATGTCTGTGGAGGCATAAAGCAGCCTCTCCCCAGGATGGGGCCTGTCAGCCTTGCTCATCACTACCTTTCAACAGCTGGAACAGGGCCTCATACCTAGTAAGCACTCATACATCACACCTAGTAAGCAAATGTCTTTCCAAATAATAAATATTAAATCAGAGGTTTTTTCCTCTTGGCATACTCTTATTTTGAACATTTAGGATCATTTCATAGGCATCTATGAAGTCAACAGCAGTCTAGTGGTTACCAGCTGATTCCTCTAGGGTGACATTTTAGATGTTTTGGGCTGGATGGGGTCTTTCTCAGGAAGCTAAAAGTTGGGAACCACTGGAAGCATAAACTGAAAGTTTGAATCTATTTGTGCATAGTTGCTCAGTCATGTCTGACTCTTTGAGACCCCATGGGCTGTAGTCCACCAGTCTTCTCTGTCCATGAGGATTCTCCAGGTAAGAATACTGGAGTGGGTTGCTGTGCCCTCATCCAGGGGATCTTCCCAACCCAGGGATCGAATGCAGGTCTCCCGCATTGCAGGCAGATTCTTTACCATTTGAGCCACCAGGTAATTTGAAATGTACAACTAGTGAAGGGAAAGGCAGTGAGAAGATTCTCATGGGAGCAAAGAGCTGTACCAGTGCAGTCAGATGGCAAGAGCAAGTTACAGTTTGAAACCCAGTGTAGGAATGGGAGCTACAGGTCATTCCAGCTACCCTATCTGGTAAGTTCCCTCAGAAATACTGACTCAGCAGCATCCTGAAGATGTCATGATGGTATAAATTTAATGTGAGTAGATCCATATGACACAGAAGTGGACTATAATTGATAATATCAGTTGTTTGCTCAGGTTCTCTTGAATCCCTTGCCTGCATAGCCTCTGCTCCAGAGTCTAGAGATATTTGCCTTCAGGGACCACAGTCTGCAAGATTTTTTTGGAGAACTGACCTTGGCAACTGGGGCTATTTTGATGACATGTGCAGAGAAGAGAAAGTCTCTCGGATTTGATGTGGCCTTGATGGAGACCTTAGCCATGAACTGAGATGTTCGAGAGCATGAAAACCCATCTCCTTTGCCTTGTGTGTGTATGTTAGTCACTCAGTCATGTCTGACTCATTGCAATCCCATGGACTTTAGCCAGCCAGACTCCTCTGTCCATGAAATTTTCCAGGTACCCACTGGAGTGGGTGGCCATGCCTTCCTCAAAGGGATCTTTCCTACCACGTATGGAACCTGTGTCTCCTGCATTACAGGCAGATTCTTCACTGTTTGAGCTCCCAGGGAAGCCTGAGGTCAAGACAACCACTCAGTGTTGTTTACTTTTCAGAATTATCCCAGGGGCCAGGCTCCCTGCTCTGGGATGCTGCCTGAAACCACATCCTTGCCTGATCTTTCCTCCAGCTGGTCCTGCTTCCTTCACACCATGATCAGTTTCCCCCAGGAAACTTCCCCCACTCTCTTCATAAACAGATTATGAATTAGCCTCCAATTAAAATTTAAAAAAAAACAACACCAGATCATAGCTCATGAATCCTTATCTCAAGCTTTGCTTCTGGTAACCCTGGTCTATGGCATTGTCTGCCTTTCCTTCTTAGCTAGAATGTAAGGGCGTGGGGGATTGTGATGAATTCTTATAACCCTTGATCATCATTGTGTTCAGTGCAAGCCTAGATACAATGGACACGTGGGGAGTCTCAGCAGAAATACTGGATCACTTTAACAAACCATAAATGATTATATAAATACATATAGTTTATGGAAAATGAAATCTTTGCTGATTGAGGTGTGATCTGAAATGAGATTTCTCCCCCCTTCTCTTTCTTGCAAAATTATAGGAAGCTCTTCCCTTTTTGAAATCTTCATTTTATTTTGACATCTTCCAGCATGATTCAGATACTACTCATTATTAAGGGTCCGTCACATTCTCTTCGAGGTGAGGAATGACACAAAAGGAATACCTCATGGCAAAAAAATTTATTTTTAAAGTAAAGTTTGATTTTCAAAGATATCAGAGCATACAGATGAATTTCCCTTTCCTCTTGGCTATCATAATATTCACAGAAAATTACAATAAGATGAATCACTCACATCAGTCAGAAATTCATAATTTTAAGATCCCATACAATGCCTCTGATAAGATAATGTATAAGGAAGGAACGTAATTGAAGGAGCAGACATGACTGTCTCTTTGATAAAGATGACAGAACCCTCCCATAGCAAATAGGGGCCCGGCATTAGCCTTGCTATTTCTCATCTCAGATATGTTTAAAAGATATATTCTTGACTTACTTTGGTTGTATGGTACATCTGTGTAATGGAGGAGAAGTTGAACTTCTGAAAAAAATAACAGTTTTAGAAAGTGACGTGAGCAGCAAATGAAGCAGAAGGCGTTTGGGAAGACAGATGTGCTCCGGAGTGAGGCGTGTTGACTCTGGGCCACAGCGGGAAGTAGGTAAATATGGAGAGATGCTCCCAGACAGAGTACTCACTAATGCCGTCATGACTTTCTGCCTCCCCACCACATGCACGCAGTAGGTCGGCACTCCTGGCCCTGTGGTTGGAGTGGTCAGTGAAGTGATCAGTGGACTTGTTCTTTTTGCTGTTGTTGTTAGTCTCTCCATCATGTCTGACTCCTTGTGACCCCATGGACTGTGATCCACCAGGCTCCTCTGTCCATGGAATTCTCCAGGCAAGAATACAGGAATGGGTTGCCGTTTCCTCCCCCAGGAGCATTAGTTCCTTGGCTAGTGATAGTTCTGATTAATGAAGTGTGAGCAAAATGCTGTGTCACTTCTAGGTTGGGGCATTCAGTTGCCACTGTGAGAGGGCCCTCCCCACCATAGGTCTTGTCCCTTCTGCTATGTTTGAGATTGTGGCTGCTTTTTCAATCTGAATCTGTAAGTAAAGGACTAGATGAGCAAGACTCCCCTTTACACCCTCGAAAACAATATAGCATGAATAAGAAAACTGTGTTATTGATTCTGCACAGTCCCAGACCATCTTGCCTGGTAGGAAAGAGGGTATTTCTCTTCCATTTCCTTTCTCTTCACCTTCCAAAGCTTTTCTTGCATGGCTTCCTACCTATCTACAGCCTCTCCCAATTGGTCTCCAAGTCTCCCATGGTTCTCTTTCTTGTTTCTCCAACCAAAAGCTACCAAGAAATTAATTCATGCTAAGGCATGATGAACCTTAATTTATTATACTGTTCTGGGGGTATTTTTTAAGTAGGGAAAAAAGCAAATAAATAAATATCAATAATAAAGATTCAAGACACAAAAAAATTGTGGGAAAAAGTCTGATGTTGTAAAATTCTCTGCATAACCATCCTTAGAACACATTCATCTCTGCAGAACACAAGGGTCCAGAACGTGGGCTCTGCATGATACAGTTAGGTGCAAATCCTCTCACTGTCAGCTTTGGGACATTAGGAAGGTTACGTATGTGTGTGTTTGGTTGCTCAGTCAGCTCCAACTCTTTGTGACCCCATGAACTGTAGCCCACCAGACTCCTCGGTCCACGGGATTTCCCAAGCAAGAATACTGGAGTGCGCTGCCATTTCCTCCTCCAGGGGATCTTCCTCAACCAGGAGTCAAACCCGTGTCTCCTTTGTCTACTATGTTGCAGGCAGATTCTTTATCCACTGGGCCATCAAGGAAGCCTATACAAGTTATGTAAGCCATGGTTTCCTTGTCTATAACATGGGGCAAGTATAGATTGATAGATGTTATGGGGATAACATAAAGGCTAACATCTAATAGTGACCTCTAGTAAGTCTTTTTATCATTAATTTCACTCTTAGTCCCAACATAAACAACTTTATGCTCCTTTGTATGGTCAGAAACTTTAAGGATATTATTATGAATATTTTTATTAAAGATCATTTTAGAAATATCCCCTCACTGCCCGTTGTAAGTTGCCGTTCGTACCGAGTTCTCTTAGTCCTCATTCTTGGAGGTATCCCACTCCTGTCCTAAGAGAATAAATCCCATTTTAACATCCATAGCCTATGTGACTTCAGCCTAATTGTTATTATTTTTCTCTGTAGAGGATTAAAGGCACAGTCCAGAAAGTCCTTGGCTGTTTCCAATAATCAAGTCAAGTATGAAATTTCCCCAGGTCACAGGGTGGTTCCCTGAAGTGTTACTCAGTTTTACACTGTCCACTAGCCAGAGAACAAATTTACTCAGGAATCTGATATCAAGACTGTTCAATTTCATTATAAATACACGTGTTGTTTATGTCTGCTCTATTTGACCATAGACAGGATGCTGCAGCATGGAAGAGTAAATGAAATCAGTTTAGATTTCTGTGGAGATCCAAAGCAAGTCAGATTTATCTTTGGGATTAATATTTTAATCTAAGATTACGATTTTACCCAAGGGGGCATAAAGGAGATGGTTTCACATTTTCAAGACTAGATTTATGAGTGATAAAAACTCAAGATTTCTTTTTCTTACTAGAATTGTAACCTTGGGTTAGTTTAGTTCTCTGAGTATTAGTTTCTTTGTATATAAAAATGAGGTAATATCTGTGTTACTAATATTCTGTTTTCCTAGGTATCAGATGATACAGCATTTGTAGACCACTATACAAATTAGGCAGTTACAATAATATTTATTATCTTCAGGGAGTCTCACGTTGTACATGTACCGAGTAGACTGACTGAATGGGAAAAGAATCATAGGAATTCTAAGACTACTTGTTCCATTCTGATTTATTCAAGCCAGAGCTTTCGCTATGGTTTTAAATTTTTATTTACTTAATTTAATTACTTTCTGTTTAAATAATTCAGTGACACAGTTTTACAGTTTGCGTGGAAAATGTTTTCTGAGTGGTTCATACTTTTAGATGTAAGCACTGCCCTTGACAGTCGGAGGGTCCTTGAGATGCTCGAGAGACTCATTGTAAAGAATGGACCTCTGTGCACTTGAGTGATATTTTCAAATTAAAACATCACTGAAATTTATTTTAAAAAGCAACAGATGAAGTTCATTTAAAAATCCTCTTTACTGAGGATTATTACACTCTAAAAGGTCTTTTTTTTTTATTTTAAAGAAAGGCTTTTTATTTTCTGTGTTTGTGTGTTTCTAGAATGTTGGTCAAACCACAGTCAAAATCCATGAGAGATTTTTCTTTTATTATGACCTAATTCAATACAGGCTTTGCTACTCTAAAACTTTGTTTTTCTCAATAATCCTAATAAATTTACACCCAGTTCTGTTTTCAGCTGAGTGTGAATGGTGGTGGTGAAATAATCTCTCCAGATTGACAGGAGTGATGATAATGATAAGAAAGACCCCCGGGTATGTGGACAGTGGCAGTGTCCATGGAAATTTCATCTTGCGTATGACCAGTACAGAAAGCAAGTATTTCTCAGTCATGTCTTCTTGTTTAAAAATCGATGGTGACCCTCACTGTGACCATATAGGATTAATGGAGAAAACGTGGTAAAATTCATGCTCCTGAGTGAGTTTGGACCATGCTGAGTAAACCTCACATGATATCCATGGACTTGGCCTGCAGGCCACGTGACCCCCAGAGTCCACACGCCTGATAGGAGGGAGCTCCAGAAATACCAGTGGATTCTTAGCATATTTTATAGTATTTTGAAACGTGTTTCCCAGTTTCATTACCAATCTGTCTGAGCTTTCTTTATATATATTTTCCTTTTCCCTAAAAACTTTCTGAAAGGGCTGATGGATAAGAATTCACAGGCCCCCTTTCCTGATTTTTCCTTTGATTCCCATGTATTTAGAGATTCTTTCGAGCTTCCAGTTTGAATGGAACTAGAGGTGGACAACTAGGAATTTTTCTGTTGCCCACAAGAATCCCCAAACCAGTATTTGCTCTGTCAGATCCTGCATGTCACAGCAGCCTCAAACTTATAGGTGGGAACTTTCAGTTCCCAAGCTGAAATCCTCCAAGTTTCATTATACTGGGTAAGCTTTAAAAGCTCAGTGGCTCCTGACATATACCCTAGAAGGGTTTGCAAACTTGGAAACATACTCCACCCACAATCAGAAACAGAAAATGTTAAAGAATTGTAAGACAAATGATCAAAATAATTCTCCTCTTATTCACTATAGAAAATATCATCTTTAGTTTAAAAATGTACCTTGCTGGTCAGTTTACTCTTCTAAGGTTGAAGGCATGAGCGATTGTCTTCCTGAGTTAGAGAGATGAACTTGGACTCTGACATGACCGTGGCTTTGCCAGCTCGTGGTTATGGTCAGCCCAACTTCCAGAACCCCTGGAAAACACATTCATGTTCCTTTCCATCCATTGGATTGGATTCCTGATCCTCACAGTTTGTTTTCTGATTTTACAACTCAAGAAGCACAGCATTTGTGTATGATTACAAAACGGTGGCAGGGTCGTTTATTGTTTATTGAGGTTTTTCCTTGTGTCGCTCACCGGGATTTGTTCTTCTCCCATTCCCACCAGGCCACTTGTGTGATTTTTTTATGGCCCCATAGTTGCTTCACTCTGCTGTGGCAGTTTCTGCTGTATAGCAAAGTGAGTCAGCCACATGTGTACGTGTGTGTGTGTGTGTTTGTGTGCGCACATACTTAGTTGTGGTCCGACTCTTTGCAGCTCCGTGGACTATAGCCTTCCAGGCTCCTCCATCTATGGAATTTTCCAGGTTGCCATTTCCTCCTCCAGGGGATCTTTTCGACTCAGGGATCAACCTGCATCTCCTGCGTTGCAGGTGGATTCTTTATGGATGAGCTACCAGGGAAACATACACAGTATAGCCTAGTATAGAATAGTATAGCATAGTATAGAATAGTAGAGTATAGTATAGAACAGTATAGTATAGTATAGTGTCAGTTCAGTCCAGTTCAGTCGGTTAGTCATGTCCAACTCTTTACGACCCCATGGACCCCAGCACACCAGTCTTCCCTGTCCATCATCAATTCCCGGAGCCTTCTCAAACTCATGTCATAGTATAGTATATTCTCCCACTATTGACAACCCTTTTTGGCTGTTTGAACAGCCTAGGGTATAGAACACAGCCCAGCAAACTGTTCCAGCTGTAAATGGAGGGACACAACCAGCACCTTCACTGTTGGTTGCAGGCGTTCTGTTCTCCACCCTGGTGAAGTGCATTTTGACTTTCACCGCCACTTCAGCAGGGGTTTGCACTTGGGTTGGGGAGAGGTTTTCTCCTATCTCTTTCACTAATGGCCCCCCCTCCCCACCCATAGCCCCTCCCCGGGCGCCTTGTGATTTTACTTGCAAATGTTCATGGATCTGCTAACTACCCTAGATGCCGAGGAGCAATGCGGGGGGGCTGGGGGTTTCCGTACGGGTGCTGACAATCTAACAGCTTG